GAATGTCCCTAATATGAGGGTGTTTTAAAGTGCCTGAGAGATATTATGTTCTTGCACTTAGTTCGGGGTGATTTCTTGTTTGTTTTCTTAATTATTATTATCATTATTTGGCATTTTGTATATTGTTTCCTCAGTACCCAAATTTTTTTTTATCATTGTGAATAAAAAATGGCATGCTCACGTAAGCTTGCATAAAAAGCCTTTTTCATTTCATTGCAACTTTGCTTCTGATAGCATCCTCACCACAGGGTTCTGGAAGGCAATGGAGGAAATTTCTGCTTTCCCGCCGACTGAGATGGTGTCCACCCTCTGAAACGGGATACGGTGTCTGTAGTCCATAAAGTGGCTACCATTGACATTAATCTGGAGAGAGAAAATATAGAATAATATTAGTGTCTCATTTCTGAGCACAGAAAAATACTTTTACACGTGCAATATAAATAAAAAAATTAAAAAGGTGTTTGAAATGTGTTAAGATCCATTTTTTGTCAACTGTAATAATTATACTCCAACCATTCTCTCACTGCTTCCCTACTTTCCTTGAAATGAATGGGGGATCGGACTGAAGACAAAACAGCCAATGAGAAAACAACTAAACGAACTTGTAGCTCACTGAAAGGTTGAGTGTAGACAAATTTGAGAGTGCTCGAACTTGAGAGACACCAAAGAGACACAAATGTAATAGAAACAGTAAATATAGTAAAAAAAAATTTAAAAAAAAGAATTGTGTACGTTTGTCAGAATGTTACTCTGACAAAAGTGAGTGGATCATTTCGGATTGTGCGCAAGGTCGACCCTACAGACCTGGTAGAAATCACGGGTGACCATGATGAGCAGGCTGAAGGGAGAGCCAGCAGGGAACGGAGCGTTGAGCTTCCTCTCTTCAGAGCCCCAGCTGCCATTTTGGAAGGTGTTGGTAACCACATACGGTTGACCAGAGTCATACCGTGGGTTGAAGTGGAGAGCAATGTCTGCATTGGTCCTGGATCCACACTGTAAATTCACATGCATCCTGGAGAGAGCAGAAGTGGTCATTCAAATCATTATGTCATTATTTTGCTGTTTATGAGAAGAATTGTGTAAAAATGCCCTCTATCCTCCAGTCAACTACTGTAACAAAATCCACTCTGATATCTCACACTTATCTAGAATAATCAACACCCACGTTTGAAATGGTCCACTATAAAAAGGGGGAGGGGAGATGGTGGACTGGCAGTGCCCAATTTCAAGTTCTGTTTTTGGTCTTTTGTACTTAGACCACTGCTGGTTTGGCATGACCCTAACGCCTACGTTTCCTAAGGTGCAACCATTGAAGTTGCAGGATATCCTTTTTGCCAATGTATCATCTAAGGAATGTCAGCTGAACTTCAGTCGAATTGTTTCCCAACCTCATCCAGACACTGGCGCACAGCCAAATCACTAGCTAGCTGGCCTGACAGCTGCTAAAAACATGATCACAGTACGATGGATTTATTTTTAGGGACCGAGCCAGTGTCAAACAATGTGAGGTCCCTTTTGTATTCCTAGAATTTATTATTATTATTAACTCTGGAGGTGACTGCATATTTGGCGCCCGCAACGTGCTCGAATGATCATGGAAATTTGCACAAAATTCGATCGACTCCACACTTGGACACAGCCATCTAAAGACATTCACGATTAAAAGTTGCGCTATTTACGACATTCCGTCGAACAGCGTGGGCGTGGCGTCCAATTTCGATCCTTCGCCATGAAAACAGAAAGTTGTCATAACTTCTGCGTAC